CACATCGGCTTTAGATATCGGCCATCTGCATCAAAATTCTTTATAATCAGTATTCAACAAACTTTTACCAAGAAGTGCTTACTGGACTCAACATAAGTTTCTTTGAGGTGCTGTTTGGGGGAAGATTCAGTATAAAAAAGCAAGAGGAACGCCAAGGCACTCTCAAAAATTTGAGTTTTGCTTCTTTAAAATCTGTATTGGCATCGGCCTTAAAAAAAACATATCAGTCGGCTTTTAACAATAACGACTACACACCAACATACTTTTTACTAATTGTATTTATTTGCAACTAATCTGGTATCAATGATCCGAATCAGATGATTTGCAACGTTTTTGATTCTGCTGAGTTCATCTTGACTTCTTTAGCTTCCCCAATGCATCTGAGTGGACGGTCGTGTTCGGTCGTCTGAAGCAGAACGGTTCAAGCCCCAACGAAGCATCTTTTCAAGTGTCAAATATCAGTCTGAGCAACCTTACAGGGTCCAACATCGCTCTGCTGAAGCTGTCGAGCCGACCCACCCTGAGTGACTACATCCAGCCCATCTGTCTGGATGATGGTCGGACCTCATTCGAGGGATCAAAATGCTGGGTTGCTGAATGGAGATCTGGACAAGGAGGTCAGTCTGAAATGGCTGTTTCAGTAATGGTACATGTCTCTGATTAGATGCTACAACATTTATCTGAACAAACTGTCTCAATTTTCCCAACCTTAGCTGAGGCAGTCCTCCAGGAGTTTAGTGCTGCAGTGCAAAAATGTGGGGATGCATCTCCACGCGACATCATCTGTACAGAACAGTTTACAGAGGACCAGGTGAGTGAGTGTTCACTTCTCAGATACAATTGTTTATTTGCTCTCCTAATAATTGCTTTTTTGATACTATCAAGCAAATGTAAATTTAGGTGAAAAAGAAACTTAAAAAGCATTTTTTTTATTGTAGGAGAGCCTCACTGTAACGGCAGTAGGCTGAGAGCTCACATTAGCCCAACACAACAACCAGGATAGGACTCGAGTGGCAGTAAGGGTGGGCAACATGGCCCAAAAATAATATCACACTACTTCACCGTATTCAAGCATAACGATGGTGAATTTTTGATATAGCGCTTTGTAGAGTCCTGGAACCCCCCCCCCCCCCCAAGACACTTTACAACACAATCAGTCGTTCACCCACGCACACACATTCACACCCTGATGGTGATGAGTTAAAACCATGGTTAAAACATAGCCACAGCTGCCCTGGGGCAACGACAGAAGCAACGCTGCCATACACAGGCACCACCGGTACCCCAACCATCATCAGGAAGCAATGTGGGCTACGTGTCTTGCCAAGGGTAGGACAGCAGTGTCAGACTGAGCAAGGCTTGAACCTGCAAGGTTGCCGATCTTTGCAAAAGAGACTTGTTCTCAAGGGATTTCCCTGGTTAAATAAGGGTTAAATAAATCAAATAAAAAATAAGGCAAGTACTGAATTCCTCGCCCACCATGTTACTGTGTTTTGTAGTCAATGTTTAAGAACTACAAAAGGCGAGGATAGATGACATCAGAAAGAGAGGAGTAGTAAAGAGGATGTGGTGCATGGTGTTAGTTTGTCTGGATTTAAACAATCAAATGGATGAAGTTTTTCTGTTACTTATAAACGAATGTCCAACACAGCAAACAAAATTGCACTTCAAGGAGAAGCAGCAAGGTTGCAGGCACCAGTCATCCAATTGAATTTCCAGAGTTAGCAGGTGAATCCGACTCCTGCTAACTTGCTGCTTCTCCAGCTCTGATGCGTCTCTGACAATGAGCAGTCATCACATGTATCCTTACGCATGCGGTCAAGCGTTTGCCGACAAAACTTAGGAATGCTCATAAAAAATGCTGGGGTCATGTGTCGTAAATTTAACTCCTAGCTGTGCAGGTTTTAATTTTAATGGGCACTTGGGTGTTTCAATGAGCAGTTTCACCAAAACTGTCTGCTTGTGTTTTCCTTGATTGGCACCAGTACTTTTGGAGTGCAGTCTCATTGTAAGTTATGCTCTGAATTTGGTTAATATGCTGCCTCAAAACCTAGCTGTGAATCAAGTGTTTCTGAACACAGAAATAAAGTTCATCAACTGGTCTTTCCTACTCGTGCATTCTCTGTGCACACAGTGGCCTTGCATTAGAATGGACACACAAACATGCATCTGGCTAAAGGGACGTGGTTCTTCAGACAGTGCTGACCAGAAAAAAAGCAGGCCAATTCTGACCTGATTTCTATGGGTATCAATCAGACATAGAACAGAAAACTACGGCCTGCTTATTACTGTCACTTGTTTGTTAATTTGAACTTGTGATCCTGAAAGTCACCCACAAGCATAGCTAGGGTAGATGTTTCCTGTTCTTCCCAAATGACAAGATTAAATTAAGCTAAGCTAACAAAAAACAGTCTAATAGACTAGCTTTGGTACTTCGGAAAATAGTCTCTGACAATTTTCCCAATTTCCTTGTTTTCATGTTTGCTCAGAGCGGCTCTGGTGGTCCACTCATGTGCGTGTTGGACAGGTCTTGGTTCCAGGTGGCTGTGCTGAGATCACCTCTAAGTGCTAGCTCTGAAAGAAGAAAACGAGCAGCAAACCACATCTTTGACAAACTGAGTCGTTTTAATGAATTCCTGTCAGATAAACTGGGACCGTTCCTGACTCCACACTCTACAAACACAACTGCAGCCTCCACCGTCACACCATCAGCATCATCCACCCTCGGCAACACCGCAACCTCCCCACATGCAACCACCGGCATGATAGGCAGTGGGGGCACACGTTCGCATTCCCCCTTCTTCCTCCTCATCCATCTTCTTGCCCTTGTTGTATTTCTTTGAGCCTTTTCATAGAGGTCTTATGTTGACTCATTTTCAAGATGTGAAATGCACTATTGAATGCAAACAGGCACTGACAGTTCTCCTGACCTTTAAACAGCAAACTTCGTGTCTCTATTTTGGTGAAATCCGTCCAGATCCAAGGCATCCTGTTTTTCTGTCCACCTTTCTTTTATCTGTATTTCATCTTTATTGAATGTTAAATTTTAACCAGATGACTCAGGATCAGGTCTGATGGGGGTATGAGCAGGAACTAATGAATGAAGTTGGTTAGGGGAGGTTAATCAGGCATTCTGGGTGTCTAAATGGGTTTAAATCATTTGTATTTTTTCAAATTAAGAATGATTGTGTTTATTGCCCCTCCCTAATATTACTAGCTGATTTCTTTCTTTCTTTATTTTTTTTACATATTTCTGATTGATGTTATATTTTGGTTTTAACTGAGAATAAAAATTTGAAAATAGGCAAACTGTCAAAGTTAAATAAAATGTACGCACTTAAAAACGTCCATTGCTGTTGTTAGTAGACAATATTTAAAAGTAATGAAATTAGCTTAATCTGCCTTCCATATCTGTAATGTAACATCAAAATAGTTGAAATGACATTTTTCTTTGAAAAAAACTACATTTTAATAAGCTTCAGGTGTTTTGAGAGGTTTGAAATGCTCACATACAGGTGCTGGTCATACAATTAGACTATCATGACAAGGTTGATTTATTTCAGTAAAAGTAAAACTGAAACTTGCAGATTCATTTCAAATGTTTGTTTCGTTAATTTTGATGATTATAACTGACAACTACTGAAAATCTCAAATTCAGTATCTCTGAATATTAGAATTTAATTTAAGACCAATGCAAAAAAGGATTTTTAGAAATGTTGAACATGTACGAATATGAAAAGTATGAGCATGTACAACACTCAGCATTTAGTAGGGGCTCCTTTGGCCTGGCTGGATTACTGCAGCAATGCGGCGTGGCATGGACCGGTCTGTGGCACTGCTCGGATGTCAAGAGCCCATGTTGCTCTGATTGTGGCCTTCAGCTCTTCTGAATTGTTGGGTCTGGCGTATTGCATCTCCCTCTTTACAGTACCATAGATTGTCTACGGGGTTAAGGTCAGGCAAGTTTGCAAGTCAATCAAGAACAGGGATACCATGGTCCTTAAACCAGGTACTGGTAGCTTTGACACTGTGTGCAGGTGCCAAGTCCCATTGGAAAATGAAATCTGCATCTCCATAAAGTTGGTCAGCAGCAGGAAGCATGAAGTGGTCTAAGACTTCTTGGTAGACGGCTGCGTTGACCCTTGGACCTCAGAAAACACAATGGACCAACACCAGCAGATGACATGGCACCCCAAACCATCACTGACTGTGGAAACCTTACACTGGACGTCAAGTAACATGGATAATGTGCCTCACCTCTGTTCCTCCAGACTCTGGGACCTTGGTTTCCAAAGGAACCAATGTCCTGCAAACATCTGTGCATGGTGGTTCTTGAAGCACGTACTCCAGCTGCAGTCCACTCTTTGTGAATCTCAGTTGGGCTATTCTTGAAATAGCCATGCTCTTGGTTTAGTTCTGAAAGTACACTGAACAAATACATAAACACAACACTTTTGTTTTTGCTCCCATTTATCATGAGCTGATCTCAGATATCTGAAATAGTTTCTATATTTACAAAAGACCCATTACTCTCACATGTTGTTCACAAATGTGTCTTTATCTGTGGTAGCGAGCACCTGTGAAGTGGGATGGATTCTCTGAGCAAAGGAGAAGTGCTCACAAACCTGTAGTTCTCATTGTCATTCATTTTACAGATTCTTTGATACGTGCAGTGATTACGAAGAAAAAAGTTCCATAAATCTGTTCATTTTGAAAAATTCAAAATCTGAGTTTTAATTACTTAAAAAAGTTCCTTGGTTGTTAGGTTCTATCTGAAGGCTGCACAGTGATGCAGTGGTTAGCATTGCTGCTTTGTAGTAAGAAGGTCATGAGTTCAAATCCTTGTCTAGGGTCTTCTGCGTGGAGTTTTCATGTTCTCTCTGTGGATGCTTGGGTCTTCTCCAGGTACTCCAGCTTTCTCCCACAGTCGAAAAACATGACTGTCTGGTTGATTGGTCTCTCTAAATTATCCTTAGGTTTGTGTGCATATTGTTGTTTGTCCAATGTGTCTCTGTGTCCCTGGGATGGAGTGTTACCTATTTCCCAAAGACCGCTGGAGATAAGAACCAGACACCCCATGAGACACCTGGTCCAGGTAAGTCTAGGGCGGGGGTCTCAGCTTGCAGGGGGGGTCTCAGCTTGCAGGGGCCTATGCCTTCCCCTTGTAGGGTTGCTGCTAGCGTGGGATGGGCGGGTGCCTTAGACTGTGCTCCTGGTACATTTGGGGAAGACCTGAAAGTGGGCCCACTGATGGATTGTGCTGATGGGGGTCTTTCTGCATGAGGGAGCGAACCTGGGGCGCAGTGGGGTCTGGGGTGCCTGGTTATCATCAACCTATGTTAGCACACACATACATACACACAACATTGATCCACGTGGGGACGTGTGGTGGTGACTGAGGCTTCACCCCTGCTACTTTTGCCCTTGTAACATCCAGAAATGGTCAGTTTTCACCTACATATTGACTTACATGCCACCGGTCATCTGCAGACATAATTCCATTCTCTAAAGTGGATTTTACGTTCTACCTTCCAACAAGCCAGAAGATTCTGCAGTCCTGTTGACATTTCAGGGGGAACAAGATGTCAGCCTATCCCAAAAAAAGCCTTCTTTTGATAAGACTGCAGGATTGCACACTCTCATGAAAGATGAACTTTTACAACTCATAAGTTAAATAATCATTAAATAATAATATGGTTGAATGAACAAATGCTATATGAACACTAATATTAATGTTTGAATAATCTGTGACTAATTCAATGAAGTTGAAATGAATTTTAATATTACAATGAAACATTTTGATGTTATGATCAGTAATGTTTGGTTTAAAGAGTGAATCATTATCTACACTCATACACAATGTTCATTAGAGATAAATTAAAGTTAACGTCACTGCACATAAAGATTCTTCGTCCACAGAACTAGAACATCTTTGTATCTGGAAAAGACATATGTTCTGAGGTTTGTTTGTCAACACCTCTCAACCTCTTTTGTCCTGATTGGCCATGTGATCATATCATGAGAATATTAAAACAGAATCACTTGCTGAGTGATCCAGTTAGTTTTTGAGCAGAACTCTGGACTGGCCACCGGGGGGAAACTAACCACCGCATCTCTTGACACGCTGTCAAAACCTGCAACACGCTGAAGCTGACACAGCAAATGGTTCCTGCAGAACAAAGCTGAAACAGGCTTTGTTTGGGAACATAGGCTGATATCTTGTTCCCCTGAAATGTCAACAAGGACTGGAGAATCTTCTGGCTTGTTGGAAGGTAGAACGTAAAATCCACTTTAGAGAATGGAATTATGTCTGCAGATGACCGGTGGCGTAGGTCAATATGTAGGTGAAAACTGACCATTTCTGGAAGTTACACCCTCTAACCTCTGTTGACCTGGTAGGGCTGGGTATCTAGATCTACCTGCGGGGGCTTTGGGGTTGTTGCAGTGATAGGTGAGTGGGGATGGGTGGCTTGGACGCCCCATGCTGACTGTCCCTCATGAGGTGTTGGGTTGGGCCCTCGGGCTTAGTGTTGTATCGCTCTGAGCTGGTCTGTACTGGTGGGGTGTGCTGGGCTGGGGGCTCCTTGGCTTGGCCGCCCCCCTAATGGGTTCCCTTTGGCTAGGGGCTGGTGCCCTGACATGCCACAAATGTAATAAAGGTGTAATGATCTAGATTACATGTTATTTAATAAGCCATAAGGTGTAGGATTCCATAGCAAATATGAAATCCACCTTATGGATCTGTGAGGTTATTTAAACTAGAAGATTGGAACTTTTTAATGCAGGGATTAGATAACCACTTCATATTCACTCAGAGACAACAGAAGAGAGAGAGTCAAGTTAAAAGTTTAAAAACTTGTTACTAAACAAATTAAAACTAGACTAACTTTAACACTAAATGTATGGTGTGACTAATGTGGGTGAAACGGTGAATGGGATGACGTGTGATGTTAATCAGAACCAGCAAATCCGAAGAAGCGATTAGTTCTGATGGGAACTGAAGGTGATGTCTTCGCGTTAAGCTTTGGTTAGGAGGTTCATAAACACATGAGACACCATTTGTCGGTCTACCTACCCTGAGCGGAAATCCCCGTTAGATCAGGAATGTCAAGGTCTAGCTTGACCTTCTCTGAAACCGAGCCGGTAGGAAAAGCAGCGGTTGCCGACCAGACTAGTCTGGAGATACTTCCGGGTCGCGACAATTTGTTGGCGTCTGGTGAGACCCGAGCCTGGGTCTTGATGGTTCAGCTTTTATTCTGAAAGGAGCTGTTGCCGCAGTTGGAATAGCAATGGATTTTTCAGCTTGTCGTTGGTTCTTTTGGCTCAAGAGGAAAGTTACGGATTAGCCACTCTGTCACTTTCTCTGGAACGCTTTGAACTGGCGTTAAAGATGACGTGGGCATAGTTTTATACTTCGGATGTTTTGGTTTATGGTCGAATGAAAAGTTGACAGATTTACCAAACACTATCAAAACCACGCCTCTGTCAGATCTGGCAGATTCTGATTGGATCAGTGAAAGTAATGTGTCTATTAAAGCTACGTGAGATCAGTCCTGTTGGAACATTTAAAGTCATATTACCTTTATATTCTATAGGATTATAATAAAGTAATTAATATTTTGATTTCACAGATTGGTCACATCTTATTTATTGACTAACACGTTGTTGGATTAGCTTATTAAAATAGAGTTGTTTGATTAATTAAAAGAAAAGAGTCCATTCTTCATTCTTCTGTTGAGCTGAAAATAAGCAGCTTAGAAGGAATGCATGAGACCTTGAGACCCTATCTCATGCAGACTAGTCTTGTGCAAAGGAGGATAAAAACAGTCATTTCATTCTGTTACAAAGGCTACTGCTTTACAGGAGGAACATCCATCCCTCTGGCTGTAGAGTAAAACTGCTCTGGCTGTCACGCTGAGTGTTGGTTTGGGACCCACATGCAGGTGAGTAAAGCTCAGAGGCAGCAAATACCTTAATCCATTTATTGTAAGGACTTGGGGGTGTAGAAACAACAGGAACCAAAGCACGTTGACATGGGAAGACGTAAGACGAGGTTGACAGACAAACCGACAAAAGGCACAGGACTGACATGGCTTAAACACACAGGAGCAGGGGATCAGGTTAACAAGAGGCATGTGCAACCAATAAACACAAGGGGAGACGTGAGGCAACCAAGGCTGGGAAGCAGAACGTGACACTGGCATCTTCGGGCACCCATATCAACCGTTACGTCTGCTTCTACTGCCAGGACAGGACAGGTTAAACAAAGCATGCACATGAACAATATAAAACAAACCTTATAATGAATAAGTGTTTAAAAATTATTGTTTTAATTTACCTATACAGGTGCTGGCCAGTAAATTAGAATATCATCAAAAGGTTGAAAATATTTCAGTAATTCCATTCAAAACGTGAAACTTGTACATTATATTCATGCAATGCACACAGACCAATGTATTTCCAATGTTCATTACATTTAAATTAGATATTCATAAGTGACAACTAATGAAAACTCCAAATTTGGTATCTCAAAAAATTAGAATATTCTGAAAAGGCTGAATATAGAAGACACCTGCTGCCACTCTAATCAGCTGATTTACTCAAAACACCTGCAAAGGCCTTTAAAAGGTCCCTCAGTCTTGTTTTGAAGGCACCACAATCATGGGGAAGACTTCTGACTTAACAGCTGTCCAAAAGACAATCATTGACACCTTGCACAAGGAGGGCAAGACACAAAAGGTGATTGCTAAAGAAGCTGGCTGTTCGCAGAGCTCTGTGTCAAAGCACATTAACAGACAGGCGAAGGGACGGATAAAATGTGGTAGAAAAAAGTGTACAAGCTCTAGGGATAACCGCACCCTGCAGAGAATTGTGACGACAAACCCATTCAAAAATGTGGGGGAGATCCACAAAGAGTGGACTGCAGCTGGAGTCAGCGCTTCAAGAACCACCACGAGGAGACTCATGAAAGACATGGGATTCAGGTGTCGCATTCCGTGTGTCAAGCCACTCTTGAACAAGAAACAGCGCAAGAAGCGTCTCGCCTGGGCCAAGGACAAAAAGGACTGGACTGATGCTGAGTGGTCCAAAGTTATGTTTTCTGATGAAAGCAAGTTCTGCATTTCCTTTGGAAATCAAGGACCCAGAGTCTGGAGGAAGAGCGGAGAAGCACAGAATCCACGTTGCATGAGGTCCAGTGTAAAGTTTCCACCGTCAGTGATGGTGTGGGGTGCCATGTCATCTGCCGGTGTTGGCCCACTCTGTTTCCTGAGGTCCAGGGTCAATGCAGCCGTCTACCAGGAAGTTTTAGAGCACTTCATGCTTCCTGCTGCTGACCAACTTTATGGGGATGCAGACTTCACCTTTCAACAGGACTTGGCACCTGCACACAGTGCCAAAACCACCAGCACCTGGTTCAAGGACCATGGTATCCCTGTCCTTGATTGGCCAGCAAACTCGCCTGACCTTAACCCCATAGAAAATCTATGGGGTATTGTGAAGCGGAGGATGCAATACGCTAGACCCAACAATGCAGAGGAGCTGAAGACGACTATCAGAGCAACCTGGGCTCTCATAACACCTGAGCAGTGCCACAGACTGATCGAGTCCATGCCACGCCGCATTACTGCAGTTATTGAGGCAAAAGGAGCCCCGACTAAGTATTGAGTGCTATACATGCACATTCTTTTCATGTTCATTCTTTTCAGTTGGCCAACATTAGAGAAACAAACATTTTTTCATTGGCCTTTAGAATATTCTAATTTTCTGAGATACCAGATTTGATGTTTTCATTGGTTGTCACCTATAAATATCAAAATTAAACGTAATAAACATCGGAAATACATTGGTCTGTGTGCATTGCATGAATATAATGTACAAGTTTCACGTTTTGAATGGAATTACTGAAATATTTTCAACCTTTTGATGATATTCTAATTTACTGGCCAGCACCTGTATACCCAAAGCCTGTGTATGTAAAGAGCAGGCTTCACTTCATCAGATTTTTTTTGGTTCCAATAAGGTAAAAAAAAAAAATTGCTCAGAAATTGGACAATTTAAATAAATATCCTGACACCGATTCAATAACTTCATTTCTTTATCTTGATTTATTTTCCTTCAGCTGATAAATTTGTCTAACTTACCTAAATAATAAACATAACAATATGCTGTGTGCTAATTAATAAAACCTCAAAGTAGAAATGTATATTTTTAATTATAAAAGTTTACATTACTCTAAAGTTTGGAGTACAATGTCACTTTTAATTGAACAAAAAATAAATAAAAGCATGTGGCTTAAGAACATTCTTGAGGGTGTTTTTTTATTTTTAGTGTATGCAAAACCTTATTTGATCAAACCATTGATACATAATTGGGTGGTAATAAAAAAAAAGAAAGAAGAAAAGTGATAAGTGATTCAAATAAACAATAAGAATGTTTATAAGTAGAAATTAACAATTAACTCAAAAATGACTCAGTGAGGAAATAAATGTGGTAATATTTATTTTGTAATTATCAGATCTCAGTTTAAATCAGCTCTGAAAAGACATTTTACATGAACAGGTTTTAGCATCCTAACAGAAAAAAATCCACTACAAGTTTAAGTTTTTATTTCATCAGCATATCAGGATTTACAGTGTTTTCCTTCCTATTTCCTGCACGCCCTTGAGACTTCCACCTCATCTGTGTCGACCAGAACATGCTCAGTGAATCTGGAGTAAATATGAATTTTTGCACACAAAATAATAATAATAATAATAAGTGTGGATATTTCTAATCAACAAGAGATTCATTTACTTACTTCAACACGTTTAAAGGAAACAGAAAAGTGGAAAAAATACTAAAACATTTAAATGAATAAATAAATAGTGTTGAATCTAAATTCAGGATATAAATTATTGAACCAAGTCACTATTTCAACAGGTTCATGGGTAATTATGGTGTTTTCCTGGCTAGCAACACTTCACATGAATAAACTGATATTTTTGCACACCAGGCAACACTGATTTAAGAAACAAGATTTTTGTCTCCTGAATTTTCCTTTCAGATGTACTGTGATGACTACCGTATTTTCCGGACTATAAGCCGCTACTTTTTTCCCACGCTTTGAACCATGCAGCTTAAAATAAGGTGCGGCTTTACTGAAGATTTTCCTTCAACTGCCACTAGGGGGCGCTTTAGCAGAAAGTGAAACAGGTGGAAGTCAAAAGTGGAAATGGAAGAAAGTGCTCATTTTAATTTAGCACATGCAAGCAGCCGGCACCACGAAGAACTTGTTTCAAATCCATACCCCCTCATCATGGTAACTACACGTATGAGTTCATATGATGCTGCATTTAAGTTGAAGGCCATCGATCTGGCAGTAAAGGAGGGAAACAGCGCTGCCGCACGTAAGCTTGGCATGAATGAATCCATGGTTCGGCGCTGCAGACGGCAGCGGGAAGAACTCATTCAAGCCAGCTTCACCCGGGGATGATGACAGCAACACGGACATCGCCACAGAAAAGGTATGTGACGAAGCTCTTCTGAGGCTGTTCAACTCCGACACTGAAGAAGAGGACTTTAATGGCTTTAGTGTGCAGGAGGAAGATGAGAGCGAATGACTTCTTCTGGTAGGCAGGTGTGTTTTATTTACTAACCAGGCATGTTTTGTGTGCAGTTTTTATTTTCTAATCATCCAGGGCTTATTAATGCTGTGTCAGCGCTGTTCTTTTCTTCTAAACATGCAAATGACCGGTAATAACATGTCAGTGGTGTTTTTATGTTATAACCATCCAGAAATATGAATGCTATCAGCGCTGTTTTCTTTTCTAAACTTGCAGGCACATTCACCCGTGTTTAAAATTCCTTTTGTTGAATTAAAACAACAACGAAAAACCTCCGTGTAGCGTCTTTCTGTCTAATTATCTTATGTTATGGCCGTACATGCGCTGTGCGCCGGAGACCTGCATGTGGCTGCTGCGCTGCGGCTTGTATTCGAGTGCGGCGTGTGTATGTAGAAACCCTTTTTTTTTGTTGGTGCGGCTTATATTGAGGTGCGCTCTATAGTCCAGAAACTACGGTAGTTTTTCTGAATTAGCACAACAGACTGAGAGTGAAGAGTCTGAACGAAAACCTCCCTGAACTTACAGAGCTGGTGATGGTGACAGTAGCATTAACAGATAGTCTGTGACATGGGAATAAACACAAAAATCAGTTTTTCACAGCCTGATAAAAGATGTTGTAGTTTTTTATAAAAAGTGAAACATGTGGACCCACTGAGGAAGAGGTGTTTTTACTGGTGAGGGACATGGGGACATTTGGTCCTCTGAGGAAGGTTTAATATGGTCGGCCGCGCCGCTCCTGCCGACGGTCTCCTCTGGAAGTAAAAACAAGACCTGGTGAGCTGAAGCAATGCAACATTCAGACGAGTTTATGCATTTGATTCAGGAATCAAACGACAACCTGCAAATTTGTAAAGTGAAAGAAAAATCATGCTAAACATTTCAGGACAATAAAAGTCTGATTTAAATAATTTAAAAACAGATAAAATGACACTAAACCGTTAAATGAACTATTAACAGAAACATAAAAATGCTATCAATCAATCTATATTTTTTAACTTCTTTTTGTATTTTGTAAAAAGAATCACACCTAATGTTTTTCTCCAAAATTAGTTTAATATTAGAATGGAAACAGAACAAACCAAACATATTAAACGATGAAAGCTAAACTATCCTAACATCAGGAAGCTGCTTCACTTTGGACCGAGTTTGATTGAGTGTATTTGACCTTGCGTCCATCTTTCCTGGGCTGTATCCTCCACGTTCGCCTCCTCTGAAACCACCACGGTCACCTCCTCGACCCCTGAAGCCTCCACGCTCAAAGCCCCCACTATGGTCACCACCATACCCTCCTGACAACAGAAAGATTAAAGATTGATAAATCTGAATATAAGAGTGAAAAGGAGTTTAAATAAAAGCATCTTTAACACTGAGGAGTGAACTAGAACAGTCTGGAGCTCCATCACAGCTGACCTCTGACACACTGAAGCTTGACTGGTTCCTGTTAATTCCTCCTTTTAAACTAAGGGTGAATGACTTAACTAAAGGCTGTATGTGAGACCTGAATGTGTCTGACCTCTGTCCATGGGGGGCATGCCCCCAGCATCTTCAGGCTTTGGAGTTTTGCACTGATTGCACTCATTTCGCCACGCGAAGTTCAAGTTGCCGCAGTTTCTGTAGAGAAAAAGCATAAATCAGGAACACTGATGAATAAGCATTTAACTTCTGTCTTAAATGACAGCATAACAAATTTGTGTTTTTATTCTGAAGCATAAAATCCAACAGATGTTCTCTTTCAAACCCAAAGAACTTCACTCACAAGTTAGAACACTTCCAGTCCCCAGCTCTTTGCTGACCTCCTCCTGCACCTCCGCTCTCTCCGTCGCCTCCTGGGAAACCTCCACCTCGACCCCCTCTAAATCCTCCACGACCCATCGGACCTGCATATTCAAACAGACTTAGGCCACGGACACACGTAGCTGTGTTTCTGTAAAACCAAACATTCTTTGGTCCACACCACCTCGTTTTCAGCTAAAAGAAGGAAAAAACAACAACTGTGCAATGTTTAGAATATTCATTGCGGGTGGAGTGGGATTCTGTTAGGGGTGACTGACTCTTTAAAAGGTCTAAGCTGAATCACTAATGAATCAACTTTTGCATGATATTCTAATTTTCCGAGTTTCACCTGAAAAACAGTAACCAAGCTTGTAAATACAAGTGAGTGTTAGCACACGTCACTCATTTTAGATGCAAGCAGTGACGCTGTGAAACCAAAAACCCCAGATGTGTACGTCCACAAGCAAATGCTAAGAACAAAGAATTTGTAAATCTCCACTTCGGTCGGAGTTTTTGAAAGAATAGTTTTTGGTGTCATTTACCTTCTTTCATGCGATGCCAGATCGTAGATAAATATCTTTGTTTTGTGAGATACCCAGATATGTGTGTGTAGCCTTAAAGGGACTGTACGGAAGTTTGACAGCCAAAACATGTATAGAAATAATAAATGTCTTCTTCATACATTCTCCTGCAATGCCCTGGCCCTGTAGAATGAGCCCTGGAATTTTTACTGTGATTGCCTGTTTTTCTGTAAAATCACAGAAAAAGAGAGATGCTCGGGTCGAGCAGGCTGCTTCATGCGCGTTCACGCTCAGGCATAGCCCGTAGCATTTGCTATCCGTAGCTTTAGTAGCAGAAAGAGAGGCAGTGCCAACTCAGCGACTTTGTCGCTGTTCCTAATGCCTAGTGACAAAGCTAGCTACATTTCTGAGGACCCTTAGCTACTTTCTGTAGAAATTTCTTCTAGATATTTCCTGCAAATTAGAAAAATAGCCATTTTCGCTCCAAACCGTTCTTTGGTTTGATGTTGTTTCAGCTGTCATCAAGGATATAAAAGTTACAGATGTGTGTATTTCGTGGGTAGGAACTAATTAATGCATTGTGAGGTATTCATCCTTTTATATTTGTGCGTGAAAATATTCCTAAATATAAGAAAACCTCAGACCATGCGTACAAGGAAGAAAGAAAGAAAGAAAGAAAGAAAGAAAGAAAGAAAGAAAGAAAGAAAGAAAGAAAGAAAGAAAGAAAGAAAGAAAGAAAGAAAGAAAGAAAGAAAGAAAGAATTGTGAGGCGCCTTGTGATTTTTATCTTGAGAGGCACTATAAAACCGTTTACTAATTTTATTATTATTATTGTTGTTATTATTATTCACCACATTCTCACACCCAAGGCGTCAATATATGACGATTCGGGACGCCCCAGCGTGTCAGGAGACAATGAACAGGGACACGCTGGGTCACGTGGCTCCGCTGGCGTCACTGTTTGACGCGCGCGGTCACACTGACATTATTCGACTATTTAACCTTCCCCTCGCCCCAATCCTAACCTTAAGGTCCATAAACTGTGACCTTAAGGTTAGGATTGAGGTGAGGGGAAGGTCAAGTAGTTCAAATGTCCGTCTCAGCACCGGCATCGGATACCGACGCTCTGGGACGCTGCGTCAGCTGTTTGTCCCTGATCGTCGTCTCCTGATGCGCTGGGGCGTCCCGAATCGTCATATATTGACACTTGGTCACATGCATCCTATTTTGACGCCTTTGGTGTGAGAAGGTGTTGTAAGAAAGCCAAGAAAGCCAAGATTGTTGAGGGGAAAGAGTCCTACAGACGGAGGCTGGAAAACAAACTGCAGGAAAACAACACCAGGGAGGTGTGGAATGGAATGCGGGCTATCACTGGCCTGAGACAAAAGAGAGGTGTTGGGATGGAGGGGGATGTCGAAAGTGCTAACAACCTAAATCTACACTTCAATAGGTTCGACTGCCCAGCGTCTCCTGTCTCCACAGCCAGCTCTTCCCATCATCCCCTTCCATCTCCCCCATCTCCTGCCTCCTCTGACTGTCTCACCCTGTCCCTCTCAGCAGATGACATCAAAAAGAATTGGGCAGACTCCACCCCGGCAAAGCTGCTGGTCCTGATGGTGTCAGTCCTAGGGCCCTTAGGTGTTGGGCTTCCCAGCTGTCTGGAGTTTTACAACGGATCTTCAACATGAGCCTGGAGATGCAGAGTTCCATCACTCTGGAAGACATCCTGCCTGGTTCCTGTCCCTAAAAAGATCAACCTGTCGACCCCCAGTGACTACAGGCCAGTGGCTCTGACCTCACATGTCATGAAGACGCTGGAGAGACTCATCCTAAAACATCTGCGGCTGCTGGTGGAGCCATGGCTGGATCCCCTGCAGTTTGCTTATCAACCTCGTATCGGTGTGGAGGATGCCCTCATCTACCTGCTGGACCGGGCATATTCTCATCTAGACATTGCTGGGAGCACTGTGAGGGTCATGTTTTTCGACTTCTCTAGTGCCTTTAACACAATCAGACCATCACTGCTGGGGAACAAGCTCACGGAAATGCAGGTGGACGCCCCACTTGTAGGTTGGATTACGGACTATTTAACAAATAGACCACAGCATGTCCGACTGATGAGCTGCTGCTCAGATAACATCCTGAGCAGCACGGAGGCGCCGCAGGGGACAGTCCTATCACCCTTCCTCTTCACCCTTTACACATCTGACTTCATGTACAAGTCTCAGTCTTGCCATCTGCAGAAATTCTCTGATGACTCTGCTATCGTGGGCTGTATCAGGGATGGTCAGGAGGTGGAGTACAGGAGTGTGGTGGACAGCTTTGTGGAGTGGTGTGAGCTAAACAACCTACAACTTAACATCACAAAGACTAAAGAACTGATTATGGACTTTAGGAAGCAGGCCCAACCTCCTACTCCTGTCACCATCAGAGGGGCTGACGTTGAGATCGTTGAGGACTACCGGTACCTGGGTGTACACTTGGACTGTAAACTGGACTGGACCAAGAACACCAATGCTATCTTCAAAAAAGGGCAGAGTCGGCTTTTCCTACTGAGGCAAAAGACTCATTGCCCCGAAATGCAGAACTGACCGCCACAGGAAATCCTTCGTACCGGTGGCAATAGGACTGTTTAACTCTTCCTCACGCTGTAGGTGACTCTCCAAATACTATTACCTTGGTTATTCTGTGCCCTCACCGACTGTGCAATATTACCCAAGAGTTCTGATTGTAAATATGTTTTTATCCCCCCATCATATCATATGCTGCTACAAACCCATATTCTTTTACACAATACTTTAATCACTTTTGTGAATCGCCTGCACCGACGGCTTAATTACTTATTCACAAGGATGCAGTCATGTATTTATTTGTTGAGATATGCGATTGTTTGTTTTGCACTATCCTACATGGTACTACTGTAGATCTTTTTTTTTAATGTATATATTGTATATCATATTTCTATTTCACCTGTTCCTTTGTCTCTCCGACTGCTTTGAGCATGTACATGACACAAGAATTTCCCTCGGGATAAATAAAGTTGTTCTTATTCTTATTCTTATTGAAGGATACGGCAGAGCGTGCACTCAGAGGGAATACATCCTCCGTGACTAATCTGGCTCCTGAAGGAGGTCCTTCTGGAGCTATGCCGTGATTGGGACCCTTTGTGGAGTGACGGATAAACCGCATGAATCCGATACCAGTCCATATTCTATTTTACAACTATGAGAACCCCTCAGAACCTCCTCTGCTCCCGATCACACACGCTGCGTTGCCAAGGTAACCAGACTGAATGACAGCCCCAGAAGAGGTTGCACTCTCAGACAACAATTCCAAATAAAACTAATTCCAAACAGGACGACTCCTTAAATGTGTAAACCGCGTTTAAAACCTCTGCAACTTGTTTGGTTCTTTTGCACTTTGGCAGCCAGTGTCTCGATCTTGCTGTCAATGAAGTTTTCTTGCTTTGTTTGTTCTTTGATTTGTTTTTGGGAAGAACACAGGGAATTCCCTCATGAGCTGAGGATGTGGTGTGACCAAACATGGTAAATTGAGGGTGTTTCTGTATGTAAAAAACAAGCACCTTGGTACGCACAGGTGGGATTTGTCATCAGATGACTGCAGAGGAACGTGCGTATGAGTGGCCGCCACATATTCCATAAGTCAGGACTTTGACCGTTCTTACGAACATTCTAAATTTCATTCATAGGAAGGAATATAGGAATATTTCTACAAAAGTTTGATGAACGAGGCCCCAGAAATAAAAGAGATTGTTTTCTGCACTTAAATTATGCATTACACGTCTAAATCCAAAAACGCACCTTGGGCCAAACAATACATGGACAACGTAACATCTGTCACGGATTTATTCATACAGCCCACAGCCCTTTGGGGAAAACAGAGACTGAACATCAAATTCTGCTAAAACCTAGAGCATGTGGATTTAATTACAAACTTAGAAAGATATATGTCTCACCTCCTCGTCCTCGACCTCCTCTCATCCCACCCCGGCCTCCAAAATCAGGTCTGCGAGTGGCAAACGACACCTTGATTGGGTTTCCGTTGAAGTCTTTCCCTGAGGAGGAGAGATGGGTGTGAGTCAAGAAAGAAGGTTGGCGAAGAAATAGATCATGCACCTAAATTCACTTAAGAAGAAAACAGACGCTAAATTCACACTATTTACACTAAAGAAGCAATAATAAAAAAATAACCTAAAATGTCAGCAGGAGCTTTAAACTGTAGGGAATCCCAGTTTCACTGACCATCAAACCAGTCGATAGCTGCCTTTGCCGAGGGGGGATCATCAAAGGAAACAGTGGCCTCCCCCTTCAGCTTCCCAGTGTCTCAGTCTGCATAGAGGTTGATCATCGGCATGCCGGTCTTCTTGTTGACCTGAGAGGACAAATGAAGAAACATCTCCAATAGCATGCTCAGGGACAAAAACTAACAAGAGGCTTGTAAAGGTTTGAATGTAACAGAGACTAAAATTTCATTTAAAAGACAGTTTTTGTTTAGAGTGACTGTATTTTCTGTCCAAATGTTACTTCATTTTAGTTCATATTTATCTCACTTTGGGCTAAAGTGTTTACAGTTTTTTTCGATTGCTAAAACTGAAAAAGCAAAAATGAGGCACAATTTTCACAACCTCTACTTCTGTTCCCAATTACTTGACTCAGTTTATCACTACTTAAGATTTCCTTATCATATTAGAACTCTGATTTTCCTCCTTTACACTCTGATGTCAATTTCACATTACCTTGCTGTCAAAACACAACACACAATTTGCAGGTATTACACACACTTCTCACATAAATTCTCAAAGCTTCAATCAACAACACACAAATATTCAAATCTCTAAACTTTCGGGTCTGGTGAGCAATTTGCAATCAGGGACTGCAGCATAAAAGTAAGTTTCCACAAGGCTACCCAGGTATATGAGTGGTTTCAGGACCTCCCCCTTCCTCAATCCCATTGAGGAGTTTTTCTCAGCCTGGAGGTGGAAGGTGTACGAAAGGAATCCACAGAGCCAGGTCCCACTGCTTCAAGCCATGGAGGAGGCTTGTAGAGATGTGGCCTTTGAGGCCTGTCAGGGCTTCATGAGGCACTCGAGGCGGTACTTCCAGAGGCGTTTGGACCAGGAGGACATCGCCTGTGATGTTGATGAGGCCCTCTGGCCAGACAGAGACCAGAGGCATGATGCCCCATGATTATGCTTGAATGGGAGAGGGGGTGGGGGTTAACTGTAAAAATAAAATGTTTTGTCTCAAAATTTGTGTGATGTCTAATGTTTGTCTCAGAGAAAAGTGGGCACTGTCATACATTCAGTGTGTCAAGTTCCTCTTTTAGGAGACACAATCCCCACTTGACAGGGATCATCTGCTGGAGAAATATACGCAGGATTCCACTCAGGACTTCATGGCTTCCCTTTTCATTTCCCTTTATTTCATTTCCATTTCATATTATCCAAGACGGAAAAAGGAGATGACGAAGCACGAAGCAAGGCAAAGCCTACGAGCAGCTGAAAAACCTTAAACAAAAACAGTGTGTGTGCTAAGAAACAGTGTAATTGTGTAAAATTTCATTATCTCTATATAAACTACCATTCATAAAATAGATAAATGCATGATTTCAACATGATATACTTTTTTGAGCTAACATTTATAAAATAAATACATGATTAATTCATTCGGACCCAAACTCACTTAAATTCATCACTTCAGCTATTTGTTTCAATTTTATATCACAACATTAAATAGTGAGCAGATTTGAAGTAGCTTATTAACAATCAAACACCAAGCTGATTTCTAAACACCCAACACAATCATTTATGATACGCACCGGAGTCCACAGTGTCAGCTCCGAGCTGCGCTTAACAATCACCCATCAGCTGATCGGCATGCACACACGCGTTACAAATCGGCGTCTTATCGGCTGCCTCTCCAGTCTTCAGATGAATGTCATTAGCACCGCTTCGGAGGATCACCACGTTGGTGCTTCCTCTAGGAACTTTCACAACCAGTTTTCTCTCCCGACATGTCCTACATAAAACATTTCAGGCAGGAAATGCGCGATGACGTTCTGAGACGTGGAGCGACACGCGCACTAACCTTAATTAGTTCCAGCAGTTTCATTACCACCTACCCCGTGTGTCTTTTATTTTTTTCACTATTTTTCAACTTTTTTATGTTTTTATTTAAGGTTTTTTTTTCGATCTAAATACGCTGTATGATCAAGATTTTGACCGCACACAGTGTGTAATTCATTGGGTTCCATTTAGACAATTGTGTTTTCAGTTTTGCTCTTCTGTGTTCTTTCCATGCTTGATAGTGTTCACCCAAAGGCTACTTGTGTTTAAGCAATGAATGGTATGTGTGTGTCATGTGAAAATGTGGCTGTGTTTACCAAATGAAAACACGTGTTTTGGGAACATGTTACGATATGTGATGGCAGGGTTTTGTTGCAAAGGGAAGCCACGGTTTAGGAATTTGTATGTTATGTTTGGGGTTTTGTGTGTGCAGTTTTGAAAGAAATGTATAGTTTTGAAAAACGCGTTTTAGCAATCGAAAAAAACTGTAATATAAACCAACCCAAAAATAACATAAATAAGTCAAATAACATTTTCAAACCATTTTTTTCCAACGGTACAAACTGTAAATAACACAAACATTGAACAAATGTGCGAAAAGCTCAAAAGAGAATCAGAATTTAGCATGACGAGAAAGAGTTGAACCTTAATAATCCCAATCTGCTTGAAGAAGTCAGCCACTGCTTCAACGGTGTAGTCGTCTCCCAAGCCCTGAACGAAGATGGTGTTGTTATTGGAGTTATCCTGCTCCGGCACAACTGGAAGAGGAGACACATGATCATCTAACGGGATTTTAACTGACTGGTGAATCAAAGTTTTAGATCAATTAGACAACATTAGAAACATTTTCTCATTTAGATTATATTTACCAACAGATTAAAAGTCAAGCCAGCTATTTTAGACAATTGTTAACTACAAGAGAAATTTAAAAAAAATTGTTGTCTATTTTTTCTAATAGAAAATTGGTCAACAATATAGAGTTCTTTTTGTTTGTTAAATGTAAATAAACTCAAATTTAAGAGAATATTTCCAGAGGATGTAACAAGTACTAAAATCATGTAATTAGTAGTTACCCTAGTGACATTTTATTCCAGTTCAATGGAGGAACCCGAGCAAAAATCTACTGAGGCCAGTGGGATAGAGAAATGCCAGAGCCAGATTTTCGTCCCAGTTCAACCTCTGCTGCAGCAGGAGGGTCAATGGACAAGAAAAAACATTTCTTTCCATCTAGCTCTGCAAATTTAGGTCAGATTTTTTAAATGCCTTCAATATTTTTGTAACAGTTCATTCTTGTGGCTACATTTAGTCTGTTCTTCCAAAACGAGACGAAATGTAACCACAGAAAAGGTTTTTAGAAATGTATATTTTAAATAAGCATTATAGTCAAAAAACTAACTGAGTTAGTGACTGCCTTACAACCAAGCCCCCACAATGCGGCTCAAAAATTGAGGCCAACCAGGAAGTACCAAAAATTGCAGTTCCACCCTCATCCACTAGGGGCTGGTGTCAGAAGCGAGCAAATCCTCATTGACTCCCATGTTAAAAATACAATTTTCGCAGCAGAAATAAACATGTTTACAGCCTGGTACCAAAATATGTTTTTGGTTTAAATGATCTAGTTTACACTCATGACAACTCTGAGGGGGGTGAATGTTTTTCTCACTCTTCTGTTTAAGTGTATTAAAAGTCTAAAATTCTGTATAATTAATGAGCATCAGACCCACGTGACCGCAGAGCTAGCCCCGTGAAAAGGCCTCAGTAGAGCCTCGGTCTGGCCTGGAAACTGTTCCGGCATTTTGAGTCTCTATGTTTGTGTATTCTTTTTTGGATATTTTTGTGCAATTGTTGGACAAAATGACTTGCTGTGGCATTAATTGCACTAATAGAGCGTCCAAGGAGTCTCCACTTCATTTTTTTTTCTCGGTAAGTAAAATTATATTTATGTATTTTAGGTCATTGCCGAGCTGAGCTTAGATTTTAACGTGCTGTTTAACCATGAAATTTAAATGTAATAGGGTAAAACCCAGTGCATTTAACATAATGCTGCACTTTAGAAAATGGGTTGAAATATAACATGTTGGTGGAGCTGGGTTCCCACTATCGGCTTGTGGAGCTCTCGGGAGACCCATGTTTTCCACCTGGTTCTCCCCTCCCCGCAGCTCGGCGCATCTGTGTCTGATCGCGGCTCCTGTCTGCTGCGCGGCTGCCGGCTTGTGAAGCTCTCGGGAGACCTCTGTGTTCCACCCGGTTTTACCCAGCGGTCAGCCTGGCGTATATCTGACTCAGAAGCTCTGGTGTTGTGCACAGTTAACTCCGGTTGTAGCTAGGTTGCTACCTCCGTTAGCTTAGCTCCCACCTCCGCGTTAGCTTCAGGTTAGCTTGTAGCTAGTTCGACCGGGTGTCGTCAGTTGATCCCAGCCTTACAGCCCCACCCTCAGCTCCACCTCTCTTCCCTTTTGTGGAATTGTCTGGGCTTGACAGAACCTGTGACACGACCAAAATGGCGGTGGTGGCCACCTCCCATTTTAGCTCAAAAACTTAATATTGGAGCCTATGGAAACCCATTGTCCAATATTTATATGTCGATGCTTACAACCAGTAAAAGTTACTACTGGGTTGTGGCCAAAGTAGAAGACTATGGCAGTCTGATCCTTGGCTACAGAAGCTGGCTTTCAGACGCTATGACTATGACTTAGGACATTGTGTGTCAGTGGTCATAGTACTTTGAGGACCTCCTCAATCCCATCAGCACGTCTTCCAGGGAGGACGCATACTCTGGGGTCTTTGGGTCGGACCCTACAATTTCAGGTGCTAAGGTCACCAAGGTGGTCAAAAAACTCCTTGGTTGCAGGACTTCGGGGGTGGATGAGACTTGTCAGGAGTTTTTTAAGGCTCTGGATGTTGAGGGGATGTGTTGGTTGATGCTGCAATGCAATATCGCATGGACATTGGGGGCAGTGCCACTGGACTTACCAGTCAATCTACGTTCATACCCTCACCTTTGGTCACAAGCTTTGGGTAGTGACTAAAAGAATGAGATTGCAAATACAAGTGGCCAAAATTTGTTTCTTTGCAGGATGTTTGGACCCTCCCTTAGGGATAGAATGAGAAGCATGGTCATCCGGGAAGGGCTTGGAGTAGATCCACTGCTCCTCCACATCGAGAGGAGCCACTTGAGGGAAGTCTGGGCCTCTCTGCTGCCCCCGCAACACAACACAACCCCAGATAAGCAGATGAAAAAAGATGGATGGATGTCTTCAAAATCAGAACTTTGTATAGAGAATGATTACTATCTCTTCAATGAAGGAAGGAAACCTCTGATAGATTAAAGTTAAAGTTAAAGTCCCATTAGTTGTCACACACACTGATGTGTGTGCGAAATTTGTACTCCGCATTTAACTCATCCCCTGGGGGAGCAGTGAGCTGCAGACACAGCCGCGCTCGGGAACCATTTGGTGGTTTAACCCCCCAATCCTACCGTTAATGCTGAGTGTCAAGCAGGGAGGCATTGGGTCCCTTTTTTAACTGACACTGTCACAACTGAAATACTCAGTTTCTTGTTTGACACGATGGGAAAGTTTAAGGAAATCAGTCAATATATGGGCAATCAGGAATGTGGAGCTGCACTGGTCTGGTTCCTCCATGGGATTAATTTCTAGGTGCTTGAAGGTGTTGCATTCCTGGTCCTGGATCTCTGGGACTTGGAGCTCCTTCCATCTCTTACACATCTTTGGGGGGCAGATCTGTGGCCCCACCGCACTCTCTATTGGACGCTCCTATAGAGAAACCTTACATATACAAGCGCGTGTACACACACAGGTGCTCACATGGTGCTTTCATAAGTATGGACTTGGGCACGTTCAACACATGTCTTAAGGCTGTGGTTGGCACTTAATGCACTGTGATTTATTATCGTGTGATTGTTCAGTAAAACAATGTTGATTTTATATTTCCTCATGAGGTTTACGCAGTGCTAGCTTGCTCCTGTTGTACTGTTGTGTGTCCCTTTTCTGCAGGTCTAGAAGCAGACTCTTGTTCATCATTGATTGTTTATTTTTGTGGACCCCCCCCCCCCCCCCCCTGTCTCTTCCTTTCTCTTTCACCTCTGACTCCGTGTCTGGTCGGAATTACAAAGCATTCAAAAAAACAATAACAGTAAAGTTTTAAGCATCAGGCGTGACATTAAAAGCAGACGCTTTGATGCTCCACCTGAGAGTAAATCTGTAAGGCTTGTCACCAGCATTCAGACATCAATTCTGTTTGCTTCACAGCCAGACAGGACATGGGAGAAAAAAAAAAGAAGGTGCCGCATTCATGTGGTCAAACAATTACACACAAGTATAGACATATAAGGAATGTCCAGCCATCATACTGCTCAGGAAGGAGACAGGTTCTGAGATGTTTTTGTCCAAAAGATGGTATCCATAGTGAAACGTGTCCTGTACTGATATGGGCTGAAGAAACATAAAATAGCCAGATACCTGTTTGCTGTTTTGACCTAAACATTCTAAAATTATTATCAATTTAAATCAAGTATAATTATCACAACACTGCAATAGCTAATCTGTGAACAAGCTAGCTTTTGAACACAGACACAATCACAGAAAACTCATGCCTCCCTTCAGGTATCATCCTTGGGCCTTGTCCTGTTATTAAAAAAGACAACAAAGCACTTTTCTGGTGGACATATGCAGCCAGCCTTCCCTAGATGTCTCGATTAGCCCCAAAGTAACCGGATGTCCGCCACAAGCTCATCGATGCAGGTTTTCAGCAGTCAGTCCACAACGGAAAATGTAAACATGCTGGTTTTTCAGGTTAAAAATCTTTTTATAAGCTGTGTTTTGTCAAAGTTGTTAATATTATGTGTGTTGTGTTGTTATTGCAAAAGGTGGAGGAAGCTAGACGGTATTAAAATTTGGATACCGCCCAAGCCTATTTTCTATTATATCAATATTAGTGTTTTACTCATTACAATGACAGGCGAGGCAGTGTCCCCCTTGCTTCCTCTGACTGTACGTCAGAGAGGTAAACACACGGTTGCTATTCCAACTCCAACTTACTATAAAGGGGTGGCCAAGACTGCTGCTTTTATACCCCACAGCGGCAGTGCAGATGATGTCACACGTACCGGCTAACTTCACATATCACCACTTCGCAAACATCAAGAGCTGATTCAAACTCAAATGTAATGCCAATTGTTATCCAGAGAGCACCACACTGGTGGTGTTAGGCTGAACACATTTCAAATAAGATGAACTAAAATATCAAAATATTGACTACACAATTAGAAAACACTAATAGACACTCATTTATACAGTTTCTCAACAAAAAAAGGTAGTTTTGGGGGTGACTTGCTCTTTAATTACAGAAACAAGAGGGAGTCTAATTTGTTACCATGCATCCCTGAAAATTTCCCTCAAATCTGTAGATAATTCAGCATCTATTACAGTCTAAATTGGTTATTGGACTTACTGAAGCTGGGTCCTCCAAGTCCATGTCCCGGGTCTCTGGGTCCTTAAGAGCACAATAAAAGAATAAATTAGTTCAGGAAAAGTTGATCTGTCGCAGCTAATATAAGCCTAAAACCGTGAACTTTTTTCACGTAGACTCCTTTATGTAACTGCTCACACTACTCCCTGTGACTCTGAGCACACCTGATCTGTGGATTTTTGACTAAAACGTTACTCTACTTTCAACCATATTTAATTTTGTCATGAATCAGACCCTTCCCAACACCAGGGGCAAAACAGACGAGCTGCATCTTTAAGCTCCAGTTTTTAGTCAATAAACTGAGCTAGTTCACATCAAGGAACTTCAGACTGATTTGATTCTGTAGTTCATGTTCATAAATGTTTGTGTATTTCATGACACACAATGAAAGAACAACAATAGCAACTCTTTGTGCTGAAAAAGAGCTCTGAACATGTTTATTATTACAGTTTTTACCTGACTTTATGAACCCCTACCTCAGCTGAACTCTTTATCAGCTAACAAAGCCAACTTTCAGAGCTGGTAGGTTCCAGAAATCTGAAACATTTCAAATGTTTGAAATCCTGAAGATGCCGGTTATTTTACAGATCAAGTTACCAAAACATCGGGAACCAGATAAAAATCTTTCTTTCAAACTCCATTTTGCCACGACAAACTTGAAACGCTCAGATTGAGCAGAATCATGTTGATCTCCGGCTGAAAGTGCGGACGACAACAAATAAACAATTTATTTGTTACCAAAACTTTATAGAAGTCTCAGCCTTTCTTCATCTCAATATGTTAATCATTTGATTTATAACTGAACATTTCAGATGTTCGGATTTTACATCTATCTTCAAAAGCTTGTTCTTTATTGCCAAGTAATTGTTAATGTTTCTATAAACGTATCTCTTCTTTTGTTTTAATGTGTTGATGCTGTTATAGCCCTGCAACAATAGAGCCTGCTGACCCAAACGTTTATTTTGTGTTTTTATCACAAAATAAAACTCAGATCATCAGTTTGTCTTTTGAGAATTTTTAAAAACTTTTTTGTTTTCAGTTTTATTGAAATCATGTTTAAAAATGTCTTTCAACAACATTTTAATAACCACTCAAAATAAAACTTTTATCTTCAAATTCATCAGTAAACAAAGATGTGGGCCTAGTTCTGGTTCAGAACCACAGTTCTGAACAAGTTATTACGGCCACTTCATTCATAGTGCTTCCATTTTTCAGATCACAGAACTGTTGTCCAACAAATTTAACACGATTTAGGATCAGAAGTTATTTTATCTTCTTTACTCCTGGTTGTTCCAAATATGAACCAGATCAGGTCACTGTTACATCAACTCAACCACTTTTTATTTTGCAGGCATCACGACAGCCAAACCACCTCACAGCTCCGTCTTTTCCAGCCCTCAAAATGCCCAGTTTGAATGGTGGCTGTTTCTCTGCCTTTGCTGTCCATTTTAACAACATCCACACTGCAGACATTTTCCCCATTCTGAAGCGACACATAAGATCTGCCTTAGCTACTAGCTAACAGTAGCCTGGCAAGCCAGACTAAATAAATGTATTATTTAGTCTGGCCACGCTCCATTGACGGCTCTCGGTTGTGGGGCGGGTTCTACCATTGTCGTTCAAATGATCTCCGCATTGCACTGGACAATGAATGTGACATACTCTTGTTTCACTCTGTTGCATCATCCCACCCACCAGGCATATAGAGTGCCCTGATTGGCCCACAAAGTGGATAAAGCTCTGTGATTTGTTCACTAAGCAGATAGAGCACTATGATTGGCCCACCATTATGGACCAATTACAGCTCTTTATGTGTTAGAAACCCCTCTAGAGAGCTGTGATTGGCTAGCCAGAGTCTTGGTAGGAGCTGTTGAGGTTCCAATGGAGTGTGCCAAGACCAAACTTTGCAAAGCAAGAATTTGGTCTAGTTCACTAGGCTAAGCTAACAGCTCAATGTTACCGTATCTGAATTCCCCGCCTGCTGTAAACTGTTTGAAGTTAAAGATTTGTTGATGTCCGTGCAACGGTGAATTTTGATGCAGTGGAACTTGTTAAATTTAATCCTAAGCCATTGTTATTACATTAGAAAATATTTATCTCAGGATAAATTTAAAGGGTCATGTTTTTTGTTTTATAAGGTTATAAACGATATTTTTCACCCAATTCCTGTGAAGAATCACATGACCGGGCCCGATTTCGGATCACGTGATTGGATCGGAGCATCCCTACTTTTTTTGTCCAGTAAACATGAATACACCCGAGGTTTCCAACTCTGCATCCATGCAGCAGAAAACATTACACAACAGCTGACTGAAAGTCTGTACTATAAGAAAGACTTCAGTCTGAAACATCAACATGTTTTTTTTTCTATATTTATATTTCTCTCATGATCAGAGGATCAGTCCAGTCATTCATCTTAGAATAAGAAAACAAATGTCACCAAAGTTCTGACCTCCTCCTCTTTAGCTTTGACTCTTTGGGTTAAAACCATTTTGTTTGTGTTTTTTTGTTTTGTCACTTACCACCAAACTTATTGAATCCTCCTCGATCGCCCATTCTGATGAAGAGGGAGACAAAAACATTGAAGGCTGGTGCTCACATCGATTTCCTTCAATGTCTTGTAGGAAACCTTCACTTTGACAGTCTCTTCTTTAACCCCCACCCCATGAAACCCAAATGATCCTGGTTCAGGCTTCAGTACAGACCTCACCAGCAGGCCAGGTTCAGTATGTTTTAGAAACGTTGAATCTCTCTTTTACTTGTGTTTCGGACCATTTGCTGTGGTCTCAAGCCCGGACCAGACTGTGTGTTTTTGGCTGTCACACAGGACTGCTCATGTCACACTGTACGGCGCAAGATTTCAGTGAGCCAGACTGCACAACGCCTCGCTCTAGTAGGACACGTCACATCACGAGCGCAATCCCCCAAAAGCATACGTCACTTATAGCTGACAGCTAACCAAAACAACAATGTTGAAAATAGAAAATCATCACAGCTGTCAACACTTCTATTATTAGCAGTGGCGACTTGTCCATAGGGGGCGCTAGGGTGCCGCCCCACCAGTCTCACAGTAGGAAGAAGGAGATAGGAATAACAAAATATTTTTAAAAAACATGAAAATTAAACTAAACGATCTATGCATCATACAGACTATAAGTTGTGTATAATCTGCATTTAAGTGTAGTTTACAAATGTTATTTCACACTTTTGTCATGACTAAATCATCTTGTGGCGTGTTTCCTGTTCCTTTTGGTGGCAGCAATCTTTACCATAGTCCTACGCTATACCTGGTGCATGAGCGCTGGATCCCCCTCCAATACAAAGAATAGGAGAGCCTTTGGCCACACAGGTTTGTGACTGACACCGGGCGGAGTCTCAGCTCAGATCAGGACGTTCACCCTGATTTCCATGAAATTAGCTTTGTTTTGCTGCTAAGTTTGCATTTGCTGGTGAATATTAAGCATAATTTTGAAACAAGTTTGTTGCTGCTACCAGGTCTTTAGTTGCAAGCTGTGTGACGCATTAGAATGGCAGTTTGGCATTCCCTAGTGGTGACATGTGGTTATTGCCCTGACACCACAACCGCAAATCATGGAAGTAAATGTTCAGAATTATGAGCGAAGGAGCTCATTTGAATACATTCATAATGTAAACACATTTCTAATCCATGTTTCTCATGAAAAACTTTTGTTTTTGACTAGAAATATTTAATAATAATGTTGTTGACACATTATATTTAAACACATTTGAGACTAATGTTTTAGTGAGTATTTTTTTAATATTATTTTTCTGCTTGCTTGAACTATTTTGCTGATGGTTTGAAAAAACTGGAATGTGACTCAAAATTACAAACATTTTAAAGACATTATTATTTTTCCAAATAAATCATCATTTCTTTTATTTATCTGCCCATAAACCGTCCTATTGTCAGGAAGCCAGTGGATAAGAAACATGTTAATTTTACCCATGTCTTAAAAAGCTGCCTCGTTACTCATGTGCATCTTCCCACAACAGGGTTTGCAAATCTCAGCAGACATGCTCTTTTCAGCACAACTGTTAAAATTCACCCTACCAAAAAACTACATTCACCAACTGCTTATTAGACTCCAAACTCGAACTCCAAAAAAGGAATGGTCCGCATGTTCCTGCGTGTAGCTCGATGGTGTAGCTGTTGCTAGTGGTGCTAATTCTACTCTTGTATGATGCTCTCGTCACTAGTTGTTTACTCCCTGAGTGTATTTTCATTGGTCGATTTCAGATGGGACAGCAGCAGCTCAGAAGGTAGAGCAGGTTGTCCAGTAATAGGAAGGTTGCAGGTTCGATCCAGAGAATGCCGTTGTTGTGTCCTTGGGCAAGGCGCTCACCCTCACGTTCACCAATTTTTGTCACGACTCTTGGGCGGATGAAAAAAAACACAATGTGGTCCGGGCTTTACTAGAAATTAATGCCATGTGAGTCATTCTCTGTAGAAAAAAGCTCTAGCGCTCCTGTTTCAGAAAGCACAAGTTAGCCAGCGGAGTGGGCTGATAGAAAACGGCAGGATTTGGTGTCTTACTCATTACTATTGTCGATATTCTAACATCTGGCCTCTGATTGGCTAACAGCAGTCCAACTTTTCCCCTACCTCCATTCACTCTGCAACGTTGATGTTTTATCTCCACAAATAACGCAATCCTGAAGGAGTTCTGTCTTATTGTCTTGCTAATGATTAGCTTCAAATAGCTGAGCAGTGCTCTTCTCTTTCTTGGCTGCAAAAGTCAACAACAGCCTTCCACGTTGTAAGCCAAGACAGGTGAGTCTATGAATGCTAATTTGCAGTGTGACATAGATTTGTGTGGCTTTTCTAATCTGAGTCTTTCCCTGTCTATTTTTTTTTTAATGGCTAATGTCGGAAATAGGGATATTAGGGCATTTTCAAACCTAGCATGACTGATCCTACTTCAAAAATAAAAAATAAAACACTGTTTCTCTGTGAACTTCTTAATAAGTTAGAAGTTTTACAGAAAACAACATACTGGTTTTAACTGATCAAGACACACTTTTCATCCTTGGACAAGCACTCATTACTCCCGGGGCTTTACAAGTATTCTCCCAAATTGGTGAAATGTTTCCCATTTGTTTTGACTTGTAAGAGGACCGTGATGGCCTAAAGGCAGAAACCAAGCCTGTTGAGATGGAAAGTCCTAGGAGAAGATTCAGAGATTGATTAAAGCAGATAATGATGCTGTCAGGGCTGGATATAGGAAGGTGGTGGAAACAGGTGAGAGAAGCAGGCAAAGGTAACTTTCAGGTCCAGGCCAGAGAAACACTTTCAAAGGAATACTTTGGCCTTTCTGAATTGTGATTCTGTGTCAAGTTATAAAAAATTCCTATCTCACTTATTGTAAATGGCTTTCTGAATGACCTGTTTTGAAAATGGAGGTCAAGTCCAACAGGATGAGCAGGTGGCTGATTTAAGAGCAGCGAAGACCAAACAGCGGATCATGGTGCATTATTTCATAAGCCTTTACATTACTGGCAGTTTCACATTACATAAGTATTATTGATAAGAATTTGATGACAGTGTAAAAGTGTCTAATGTTTACATGAACCACTTGGGAGTGCTGGAGAGTCAAGTCCTTTCAGATCCAAAAAAACACATAAAATTTGTAGTTTTGTTATATTAAAACAGATGCAATCAAAATTTACAGCAGTTCATAGAGACATTTTAAAAACCCTTTGCACCTGGGATACATAGCATGACATCATCAAAGAGAGGAGATTTAGAAATGTGAACAGCTATAGCTCCTGCCCCTGTTTCCTCTCTCCTTCTGAAAGAAGCAGAAATCCATGCCTCATGCAGCACGCGCACACACACACACACACACACACACACACACACACACACACACACACACACACACACACACACACACACACACACACACACACACACACACACACACAGCCACAAATACACTAATCACCTAGCTCCAATACACAAAAGATAAATCCCTTTTCGTTTCCCTCCTTCTTCCTCACTTAGCTTTAGGTTTACAGACCGGCATTAATTCAGTGCAGGTCGAGTTAGCATTTAAGCTAGGTTGGTGGGCTAATCTAACTGAGGCGTGTCTGCATCACCCCACAGTGCATGCTGGGAACAGGGGAGCATTCTCATTAATGACGATTTATTTGTGTGTATGTAACCCAGAAGCTAGAACCTTAATGAGGTATTAACTGATTGGCTTACTAATATGATCCATCCTCAATTTAGATAAAATATAAAATATAAATTAAGGAAATTAACAATACTAATTAATAGATATCTAATTAACTAATAGATAATTTCATAATGAATTATTGGAAGGGTGAATAACTAAAATAACGAGTTTAATATTAAACATCGGTTAAAACAAGAATCTTGAACATCACTAACAGAAACAGAAGAGGAAAGCTGTATACTATTGGTCCAGGTGGGAATCTGAAATTTCATTGGCTGAGAGAAATAAGTCCCGCCTCCGCGAAATAAAACCATGCGACGCAGCTGAGCGAGAGGAGAGACAAACGGCTGTGCAGCACGCAGATACAGAAAGCAAAGACTGAGCGGTTAGAGAGAGAGAGAGAGAGAAAAAAAAAAAAAACAACGGTCGAGGCCGTGAAGAACCCTGATTTGGGTGCCGCATAGATAGAGGGAGAGGCGGACTTGACTCCTTCTAATAAGAGCTAGGAACTTGGAACCAACGCGGTGAGTAAAGAAAAAAGAAGAGAAAAAGCTAACGATGCAACTTAAAAAAAAAGGAAACTTAAATAGCTTATCAAATTAATTCCATTCTTATAGATTTGTGTGGAGACGACAGAGTGAACCAATCCTCTGTAGGAGGGAACCGTTGGAGCGCGTTGGTGAGTGAATGAGATTAAATTCAGTAAATTATTAAATTCAAAAAGCTAATTACAGCAACCGAGGTGACAGCAGTGGGCTGCTAGACGTTAGATCCCAGGAGTTAACATCTCAAACTACCAGTTAACGGTGGTAGGGCATATAGGAGTTAACGGCTCAAACCGCCAGTTAACGGCTGTAGGGCATATGGGATTCCCAGGAGTTAACGGCTCAAACCGCCAGTTAATGGTGGTACGGCCTAGATGTACAAGGTCCTCAGGGGCGTTATAGCTAACGCCATAGAATTAGCAATGCGTCCCTTAACCAAACATTTAATAATAAAAAAAATAGATAAATAAAAATAAATAAAAGCTAACTGATTAGGGAGGAATTATTTTACAAAGGTGGACCAAAGGACCAGAATTTATATTTGGTTGAATTTTGTTATAGAACATTTTATTTATTTATTTATTTATTTATTTATTTATTTATTTATTTATTTATTTATTTATTGTGTTACAGATATACAAGGTGTCACAATGCTGTATAGAAACACAACTAAATGTATCCTTGTTGTCATGAATGTATTTCTTGTCGAATAGTGTAGAGTAATAGAATCTAACTGAGCCTATTGAGCTGAACAATTGTTGTCATATGTAATTATATTTCCAGAGCTACTGAGAATTATTTTAATAGACAAT